AAGTGGTGTTAGGGAAGGGAAGGGAAGGAAAGGGAAGGGAAGGGAAGCAGCCCCAGGCGCGCGGGGAAACGCAGGTCCCTGTGTGGCCGGTGGCAGCGGGGGATACTCACGTCTAGCAGCGCGCTCGTGTCCACGCTGAAGCCGTGCGTGGTCAGCATGGTCTGCAGGTTGTCCAGGTTGGAATCGATGGTATCCAGGTGGTCGTTGAGCTCATTCCTGCGGAGAGAAGGACAAGCAGGGGCGATTAAGGCTGAGAAGCCCTGTGAGGCTCTAGGCTACTAAGGGGACTTTGCCAGCGCAAGGCAGGTGGCCCCTGAACAGGAGCGGGAAGCAGAGCGGGCGCCTGGCTCCGCATGGGCACCAGCTCCGGCTGCAGTGGGCTCAGGGGCTCCCCAGGGATCTCCATCCCTCTCCCTGCTCAGTCCTTGGCCTGGAGCTTGGGCGCTTTCTAGGACCCTTCCAATGGCAGGGCCTGAGGGAAGCGGCTTGGAGCAACGAGACACAGGGAGTTTCTCCGAGCCCTGGGACTTTGCAAGGTTTTGGTGCTCAGGAAGCACCAACCCGCATGGGCTGGCAGGGCTCTCAGGGCAGCTCTGCCTTTGCAGTAAGGAGCTTGGGATCCTTTCTGCAGTCCAAGCAGCTGCATGACCTCTGCTCGTCACATCCTAGAGCTGACGTTTGGCAAAGAAAGGGTAACATACCTACTGCACGAATCTGCTTTGGGGGGAAGGTTTCGGAGACCCGAACAAACCTTCCCACCTGGATTGGCAGGGGGGAACCTTGTTAGTTTATCAGGAAACGCTGTTTCTGGTAACAAGGCAGGGAACTAAAGCTGCCTCCTTGCACCTGGGGGGATGAACCTTCCCACTGCATCCTGCCCTGCACCAGGCTCCCTAATCTAATCTAATGTAATCTAATCTAACCTAATTGCTTGGGCGCTGGCGGAGGGACAGGCTCCAGCAGGCCACCCCCACGGCCATGCCCAGGACCAGCAGGACGGGCTGAGGACACAGCTCGCTCCCCTCTCGGTGCTCTCGGTAGCCCGGGGCGGGTGCCAGCGAGCGCGCGACGCCGGCGCGGGGCCTTTTAGCTGCCTTCCCCCGGGACCGCGGGGCAGAGCTCCGGAGCGGGCACGGGGGAGCAGGGGGACGCACAGGGGACGCTTTTGCCCTCGAGCTCCGTGGCGTTTCACAGCAGCAGCAGCAGAGAGCGGATGCCCCTCCTCAGCGTGGCACCACGAGGCTCCCTGAAGGGCCTTCTTGGAAGAAGAGTCGCTTTTGGGGTGGCCCAAAGCCCCAGAGAAAAGCCACCAAGTTTGGCAAAATGAGCAGCAGCAGGTTCAGCTTATGGAACTGTCAGCAGTGCTGGCACGGCCTCAGGTTTGAGCCACCAAGTTTTCCAAGGCAGAATGACTTTCTTTGGCTACCCAGGATGCGCACAGCAGGACAGGGTGGAGGTGTCACATAGGGAAAACCAGTCCTGGTGGCTGAAGGGGACCCCTACCCTCGAGCACCACCATGAAGACCACAAAATCCAGACGGTTTTGCTGTTGCTGCTAAACCCTGCAAGGGGCCACAGGGGCCCGTTCCAGCTCAGGAAGCCTAGCAGCAGAAAGGGGTACACTGCCAGCACAACAGCGCTCCGCATCCCGGGAATGCCTGGGAAAGCTGGCTGCAGGCAGAGAGCTGCAGCTCCTCTTTGGAGCCAGGACACACCAACACTGCAAATAAACTACACAACCGTGTCCGTGATTTTAAATGACTCCTGAGGTCCTTATTGCACAGCACCCGAACTGCTCTGATGGGATTAGGATACTTTCAGCAATCCTGCAATTGGAAACTTCCAGCATCACGGAATGGCTAAGTTCCAGCCAAGACAGCATTGGAAGCCACAAAGTGTTACCGTGACAAGCTGCTGCGTGTGCTCCTCAGAGGATGGAGCACAGGAAGGGCGGGATCCAGACTGCACAAAGGACACCTGGGGATTAGGCTACTGGCACACTCCAGATCTTCAAGGCAACTCTCCTTGCTCCTCTGCAGAAGGAAAGAAGGGGACAGAGCCACCACCTTCTACCTGGCCATTGCTGTGCAGTTCGCAGCACCGCTCAGAGGAGGATCCGTGGTCACGGATCCAGCCATGGCTCAGGCTCTGCTCGTGCTGGGCTCTGTTCTGCATCATGCTACACTTGCCATCAAATGGCACGGAGCGGGGAAGAAAGGAAAATAGTTCTCTGGAGCAACATGCTTTTGCTTAACTTCCTACGTGTTGAAATAAGAGGAGCCAGCGTCTCCAGGAGAGATCAGAGAGGTTGTTGCATAAGACACTGAACTGCAGGGAGTCCTGAGAACGTCGTGAGATTTGTATCCTTCGAGGTCAACAGCTCCAAGGAGCAGCCAGACATGAATGTGCTGGGGAGGAAGGCAAGGAGCAGAACACAAGAAGTCATCTTTGCTGGTGAAAGGCACTGACACCTTCCCCACACGGATGCGGAACGCTGATAATCCAGCAAAAGGCTTTTTGGACCCCTGCAGCCCACAGAAGAGCAGAGCAGGCTTCCTGCAAGTAAAGAAGCCTGGAGTAGCACATAGGATACAGCATCCCTATAAGAGAGTATCAACCGTGGGAGGAGACGCGGAGCTCGGACACGAGGGCCCCACCAAACTGCTGAGGGAGATCAGGTAGCCGAATTCCTGGGCAACGTGACAAAATCCGGGCTGAATCCCTGACCGCCCCGGGGATGTGGACGTGCACAGAGGAGGGCCGGATGCATTCGGGAGGTGAAGAACACCACGACCCTCCGCGCAACCCTCGGACGCTTCTAAAACGCGAGTCCCGGCTCCGCTTCCCCTCGGGGCTTGGCACCGGCACGCTCGGGATCACGCCGGGCAGCTCCCTCAGCCTCCCGTCAGCCTGCCAGCCCCGTCCGGGGGGGTCCGACACGGACACCGCGGCGGGCGCTGTGCTGGGCCCCGGCACCGCTGCGACACTGTGAGGCTGCACAGGGCACGGGCAGGGCTGGCAGTGCCAGCAGCAGCTTTCTGCTCGGGAAGAGGCACGTTTTGGGGTGGATCACCCCGAGCCCGAGGCTCCGGAGCTGCTCTCTGCTCCCACCACGGCTGTTGCGTGCGGACACCAGGATACCAGGACCAGATTCCAGGCATTTCTAGGCAACAAACGACCTGCCCTGGAGCACTGGGAACAGGCCCAGGGCCGCTCTGGCTCCCTGCACCCTTGTCCTTTCCAAATGCTCCGTTGCCTCAACGTAAGAAGAGGGGCAGCCTGGTGTGACCATCACGTTCAGGGAGAAGGGAGGCAGGGCAGGAAAAGCTCCTCCTTCTGTCACGGGTCTGGATGTTGGCCCCACCAAGGTGCCACCAGGAACCGTGGTTGAAGTGACTGCTCCTGCCAGGACTCCCCCTGCCACGGCCCTGCTGGGGACACGGGACAGTCTCTTAGCAGCTCAGTTTAGCTCAAGCCAGCACACTCGATATATAGATTAGAAAAACCTTTATAAGGCCAAAACCTCCCAGAGCTTTTCCTAGGCTTCCACTACCGGCTACTGCGGGAAAGAGGATACTGGCCTAGATGGATCTTTGTCCCTACCTGGGATGTTTTTCCTACGGAAAAGCTTTATTGCTCTAGCACCTCGGTGCGCAGGCAGGTTTGCAGCGGGAAGGTTCCTTGCTCTGTCACCATCATAAGGAACGGAGAACACATCAGGGAAGTCCTTTAAGCCCCGAGCTCCCATCACGTTTCAATGAAACACTTTATTATGGAGGTGTGCGAATTCCACGCTGGCAAGAGCTACCAAAGCAGCAGCTCCGGAGGCTGAAATTTCCATTCACCAACCCCAGGTAGAGCTTGGACAAGACCGGAGCGGAGCTCCCTGCGCTCCCTGCCAAGACCACCTAAAAGGATAAGAGGCGGCTCGGCCTCCACCAGCCGCTTTTCCTTGCTATGTTGAGCTGGCCAAGAACTCTGCCCCTCGGTGCCAATTTTCAGGGCGAGTTTTCTCCTTGCCGCTCAGCTACCTACAACGTCGCCGCTGCGGGGAACGCTGGCCCCGTGGCACGGGGCGCTCCCTGGTTAGCGCAGGACCCCCCTGCCCTCTCGCCCAGAGGGACGGCGCTTGGGGACAGCAGGCTGTTGAAATGCTAACCCTTGCTGTGATCTGCAATGGAGTGAGGAAGAGGAAGAACTGGGGCAAAGACGAGGGACCTCTGACATCTGCGGTGTGCGAGTCAAACTGAAAAATACAAACAGAAGAGGGTACTGGATAAAAAGCCTCACGATCAGGCGCTGTCAGGAAGGAAATGCTTGTTACGTTCAAAGGCAGAGCAGGTAACCAGCCCCGCGAGCGCCGGGGCGGGCGAGCGGTTCCAGAGCTGTTGCTAACAGTAAAACCAGACAGGAACCCGCGGCCCTGCAAAGGCAGGGGAAGGCAGCACAGCTCCTTCCCACCGGCAGGAGTCTCCCAGTCCGACTGTTGCTGACCTGACGGACGTGCGGTCACTGTCACCGTCACCTCTGTGGTGCAGCCGAAGCTCTGGGAAAGCCAGGCCCTGGCACTCAGTGTCCACAAAGACAGGGACTTGCGACCCCATGGGCCACATGTCACATTAACAGCACAGGTGGCCACGTTCCCCAGTGGGTAGCGGGCTCTGGCCCTGAAAAGGGGCTGACACAGGCCCACCCGTGGGCAACCTTTGGGCCACACTGTCAGGCCTTTCCACGCACGCGTGTCCTTTTGCAGCGTGCCCCCCGAACCACCACTTTGTGCTAAGACGCTGCTGCTCACACGTAGCCAGTCCTGGGTCCAGTGCTGGCGTTCCCCATCATACTAAGGTCACCTACACTAACTCACACTGCCCCCACTGCCAAGGTTTCCTTCCCACCAGCCCGGGATAGCTCCGGGTAATTCCTGCTCGCTCGGACCCACAGCTGCTGCTCTGCCCAAGCAGCCGCCCGGCAGCCTCAGCTGGGCAGGAAAGAAGCCAAGGCCTTGGAGTGCCGGGGATGCGGAGCCCTTCTCCGAGCTGGCATCGCCCCGACGGAACGGGAGACACGGCATCCAGCGTGTCCTGGCCCGCGGGACATGGAGCTTGCACGTCCCAGCCAGGCCGGAGCAGGGCTTGGCCTCTCCTCACTGCTCACGCTCCGCTCCAGCCTTCCCGGGACAGGGCCAGGTTTGTGCCAAACGGTTCCGCTCCGTGTCGCGCCGCGGGCTGCTGGCCCACGGGGACTGCAGCACGGGACGCGACAGCTCCCGGGACCAACACCCGAGGAGCCGGGAAGCGACACTGCAGCCCGGGGCGATGCCCGCTGCGGAGCAGCGCTGGGGGAAAAGCACCAGGGGAAGAGGAGATCCCTTCTCCTATACGATCCCAAGCAGCTCCCCAGGACGAGCCACGGAGCTCGGTCTCCACAGGGGAATTGCTGCTCCGTGCCCTTGGCCTGCTGCGGCCTGCCTGCAGGAGATCGGAAACGCTCTCTGCAGCGCTCCTCACTTTTATGACCTTTTAACTGGCCAGTTTGAGCTTTGAGGAGCTGCACTATGAGATCTGCCTCTCTTTCAGGACTGCTGGTGTTGGTGAAACGGACTGCAGCGCCCTGGGCAGGTCTAGGGAAGGGGAAGCTATAGCAGAATTCCCTGCCAAGGCCGAGAGGAGCGAGCAGGCGGCTCCGGCCGCGCTGCGAGGCGGCGGCACACGCAGCTCCCGCTGGCCCACGGCCCTGCCGAGGGCTGCAGCGAGGCCTCCGCCAGCCACCGCCGCACGGAGAGCGCCGGAGCGATGGGAGGAGGGTTCCCACCAGGTTCTGCCCTTGCTCCGTGCAGAGCTACGAGCCAGCGCGGTTTGGACAGCGAGAGCTAACACCAAAGTCATGGCAAGAGCAGCAAAGAGGCCACCTCAGCACCACGAGGCCACAAGAGCTCCCTCCTGCCTGGCGGGACACTGCAGCTACCTGCGTCTTCCCCAGATTCCTCCCCTGCCTCAAGGACAGACGACCTGTGCCTGTGCTTGGGGGAAGAGGCTACCCCTGACACTGCTCTCCCAGGACATGGGAGATGCAGCCAAGTTCTCAGCGTGGCTCAGTTCCTCGTATACCGGGGCGTACAAACAAATTTCTAGCTTTCCAACGCTTGCAATTACAGATGTGAGCACTGTGTGGTGATAAAAGACATAAGACTGCACATGTGCTCCCTAAAAAAGCCACCCGTCACCTACCAGCCTGCCGCCCTCAGCTCGATGCGGACTGTGACTCGAGGAGCGAAGAGGCCGAGCACAAGGGCGCGTTCCCACCACTACATTTCCCCCTCACCCTGCGAGGACAGGCCGGGCTCCCCCCGTGCGGGGTCCACAAGGAAAGGCAGCTGCTTTTACAGCGACTCATTCCCACCCCAAGGAGCAGAGAGCCGGAGCAAGCCCTGTCTCCGGTGAGAGCAGAGCTCCCTGCCTGCTGCCCGAACATAGCACAGGGGTTCTGCTCTCTGCCCATGGCCAGGCAGGGGCTGCCAGGAGCAGGGGGCAACATCCCCACGCCGGCTCCTGCGCCGCGGTCGGAGCCATGGCGGGTTCCTCGGGCAAACGGGCTGCCTGGGACCGGCTGCGCACCCGTCAAAGCGGGGCCGGCCCGAGCGGCCGGGCCTCGGCGGGGAACTTACTTGTCGAGGCAGGCGACGCTGAGGCACTTTTCCGGGGGCGGAGGCTGCGCGGTGCTGTCGCCGGTGGCCGCGGTCGTGGTGCTGGGTTCATTCTCCTGCAGGATGGAGTCAATGAACGTGGAGGGAGACAGAGGAGTTTTGACAGCAGGAAGGTTCCCGGGGCTGGCCTCCTCTATCTGGGGGCTGCGGGAAGGACTAGGGGGCTCTTCTTTGATACGGACCACAGGACTACTCCTTGGAGAGACAGGAAAAGAAGGGTCAAAGCCTTGCGCTAACACCCCCGACTTGTGAGCGCCGCTTGCCTTCGGCAGCACAAAGCTCCTCATGCCTGCTCTGCACGCACAAGGTCTCCACACAGAGCCAGCTACAAAGAAGAGGTTGAGAAAGGACGTCAATATTTCTCCTCTGATTCTCACCCTAACGAGCTCCCTCCCGCGGTCTCGTGTTCGGACCACGGGCTCAGCAGGTTTCCCGTGGCTAAAGGCCTGCAGGCTGCTCAGCTCAGGACCTGCCACGCGGCCGGTTCTGCCCGGGTTGAGGTATCGTGAGGAAGGTGAGACATTATCAGAAGTGCTGTCAACTCGGTACCGCTTTTGATGTGGACAGTCTCCACCAGCACAAAGCAGCTCCGCGGACACCCTCTGCAAAGTCACCAAGGACATGCATGACAAAGCTGTCACCCCAGCAGAGGCTGCAGGGTTTTACCTGCTTCAGCGTTGAGAGAACGACTCCCTTGTGCAGACTACAGGATTAACCCTCTGCGTAAGCACCTGGGCACTTTGTGCTGCACCTTCTTTATGAGATGGGGAGAGGGTTTGTTTGGCCAGCCCTGATTTTGCAGAGGAAAATCCCTTGCTACTCAAACTGCCTGATTTGGGGGGCTGTGGGAAAAGGCTCAATTTGTTCTGCTGAAAAGGGCAGCAAATCCAAAAGAGCAGAGAGCAGGCCCATTGAGCAGCCATATGGTCTATATTTAAGAGCGACTGTTCCTGGCAGAGGGCACTGCAGGCAAAAAATGGCATTTGTGGGTGATTCAGCACCTCAGGGAAGCGCCAATGCCAGGAATAACCTAGTAAGGGGGAGGAAAAAAGGAGTCAGCAAACCACGAGATGCTAAAGAAAGATGGACATTTCTTGCCTGGGGAGGCAGAGAGAGTTCCGGAGCCTCGGAGGTTTTTCGGGACGGGACTTTGGGGACAAGGGCACGGCAGCCGCAGCAGTGACGTGGCCCGAAGCCCTTACTGCTTCCCTGGGCGAGGGCACCGGGCCCCTCCAGGGCAGGCTCACCTTACACAGCGCGGGCAGGTTTTGTTTGCTTGGCTACCCAAACACAGGATTAGAGTTAATCAATCCCCCAAACCCAAATCTGCTGGGCAGGCAGGGTCCCAAGGGAGCTGATGTTGAGGGATGGGTCCAGCTTCTTGCAAAGTCCTGGTAAGGGAAGCGGGATTAGGTTACAACAGCGTGAGCATCCCCTGCCCGAGGGCTGCAAGGTTTTCCAGCTGCTGCTCGCCAGGGAGAACATCAACTCGTAATAACAGAGGCACAACGTTATGCTACCGTTTGAGTACCCGGCGAATATGTTCTCCCAGCGAAGGTGACTCCAGATTTTATGAAGGTAACGGAATACCTTTCGTCGAGGCTGTCACTGGGAGATGCTGAAGGGCTGGACTGGGCTAGCTCTGTCACGTCGGAGATAATCGGACCAGAGTTGGCTGAAGAATCCGGGGAATACAGATTGGAGCCGCTGTATGCTGGGGAAGAAGCCTGAAATGACAAGCACAGAGTGGTGACACACAGCGCCAGGCATGTCCCCTGCATGGGGGACAGGGATGCACCAGAACAATGCAGCATCCTGACCGCCCGCAGCAGCGCGGGACGCAGCGGCCAGTAACGCACTCCTGCGAGCCTGAGCACTCGTAAAACAGTTAATGACACTTCTGTCCCACAGACCTCATTGTCTTGGAAATAACAGAACTTTAAAAGTTAAAATACTGGGTTCTTTTGCTGGATCACCTGAAGTTTAGACTTTTAAAAGCCCAGATTTGCAGCTTTTCCCTTCCACTAAATAACTTAATTCTTTCTTTGAAGAATGAAAGACGGAATTCATACGGCTAAAGAGACCTAAGAGGTAGGAAATACAAGATCCCCACACTGGCAGCAGCACCACGAAGGGGTTGCATTTTGATACCCACCTTGCTAAGCAGCAAACTATTCAAGAAGCCTGGGTGAACCTGAATCCCACCAAACCCTTGTGTGCCAGCAATTCTCAGCACTTCCTTTCCACGAAGGAAATCCAGACTGGAATTGGGGATCAGGCTGATGGTGGGAGGGATCCTGCCCGCACCCCCCCTTGCCAACCCCTGAGCTTGCTCCGCACTCTCGCTACCTCTCCTCCTCCGGAGCTCCCTGCTGTCACTTTGGACAGCGAGTGGGGGTTAATCCTGAGCGCCTGCCAGAGAAATCCCTGCTCCGTGCCTGCCTTCACAGACGGAGCCGCCTGTCCCTCCCTCAGCGCCCGTCCGTGATGTGTGCTGGCACCAGCACCGCGCTCGCCGTGCACACAATGGCACCACAGTGCAGAGAGGGCCCCTTGGCTCCCTTGTAATTAAAAAATACCATCTAGTCACCCAAGCCCGTGCCGATCCCCACAGCCGTCCGCACGGGCCTCCTAACCCGCAGGGTGGGAGGAGGCTGCAGGGCGAGCGGGAGCCGCCGCTGCCGCAACCCCCCCGCGCAGGCGGGCGCTGGTTTGGGGCGCCGGGGAGAAGGGCCCAGCAGACACGGGCAGCCACCCCGGCGTCTGTGCTGCAGGGCTGCATGGTGCTGGCCTAGAGCTTTGGGGCTGCCTACTCTCTTGTGTCCTTGGGCTACAACCAGCAGCGTTGCGTGGCTGTGGTTTTGCGCGTGCAGAATCGCTGCGGGCACAAAGCAGCCAGCGCCGCTGCTTTGATGCGAGACCGAGAGCCCGTGATGACCTCGGCTCCTGGATGGCCGCGCACGTTTTCCTCCCGCAGTCCAAGCAGGGGCTGGGGCAGTGCTGGGATCCGGTGCAATTTGCCGGCAGGTCGCTCTGAAGAGCTGCCCAGCTATCACTTCCCAGCTCTCCTTGGAGCTGAAAGCCGTAAACGCTTCGCTCGGAGAAAGGATGGCCACCTGCATTTCTCATAATTGGGACAATCCTGTAACACCTGGAAAAGCTCCCGGTGCTTCTGCATAAGTATTTGCTGCATGAGAGAATAAAGGCACTTTTTTAAAAAGAGATCACAGGGCTAGGAGGGAGCTGGCCCGGGAACACAGCGCTCCCGCGGAGGGTGGTCTCGCGGCAGGAGGGCTCGTTAGCGGCGCTCCGTTATTTCGGTGCTGCGCTCGCGAATGTGTTGGGGTCACCTTGGCACGTCGGGGCAGCTCCGTGTCAAGAGCCAGTGGCTCAAAGCTCCTGTCCCAGCAGCAGCTCCCGCGGAGCACAGCCAGGAGCGCTACGTGGAATTGGGGACAGCTTTAGTTTTGCTGCAGAGCTGAATGCCTGGCTCTGACCTTCCTGCAGGACAGTGCTGCTGGGATCAGAACAGGAAAGACCCGGGATCCGTAGGGAGCTCTGGAGAAGCCTCCCCGCCTGCTGTGGGGCAGGTCCCGGCCTGCACGCTGACCTCAAGCAAAGCAGAGGATCTAAACCGAAAGTTTCTGGGTCAAGGAGGAAATCTAAGGGATCCACATAGGCCGCAGAGCCCCAAAGCAAGTGGTGCCCCGCGCACGGCCCCTCTGCTCTCTCTGCCAGATGCAGCCCCTAGGGAGCACGCGTGGGTCCCCCCGCGTGGCAGGAAGGGCAGTTTCTGCACCCGAAGGTGCTGTCAGGGCAGCGGGGACATGTCCGGGCACCCTGCAGCCCTCAGAGCAACAGGCAAGCTCAGTGCAGCGCTCCGGCGACGAGGCCAAGCAGAGGCAACGCGCGCAGCCTGGCAGCCTGAACCTGCAGCTCCCGCACAGGAATCCGGGGCCAGCAGCCAGGGGCTGGAAGAGCCTCCCTCCCCGTGTTCCCTGGCCACCGAACAGTCACGGGAAGCAGCACATCAAAGCGTGCACGGGGAGCCTGGGGGAGGAAAGACAGAAACTCCAGATTCCTGGGAAGCGGCAGCGACGCGAAGGAGAGCCCAGGGCACACGGCCAGGGCTGCTTCCCACACGGCCCCGTCGCCAGGAGCCCAGGGCCGCCTTCGCAGGCACCTGGAGCACCCGCTGGGACATCCGCATCCAGCCCCTGCCCCCTCCTGCGGGCTGCACCTTGGGGACACCTGGCAGGAGGTGCCTTCGCCCCCGAGGTCCCTGTCTGCCCTCTTATCTGCCCACCTGCCTCTGCCTTCGCTGCCTAAAAGCGCCATCCTTTCGAGGGGACCACGCTGACCGCACACGGGCACAAGGCAGTGCGAGCAAGTGCTCAGCAGGGAGTGATATCAAATGCATTTTGTCTACGGCAATGGCAGCAGATGCAAGCTGGGCAGGGCGCCGCTTCAGCCCAGCTCTGCCTGCAGCCCAATTCAGGTAACACCGGGGTCGCTTTGCAAGCCAAACGCTCAGCCCCTTCGCAAATACCTCGCTGGCTAAAGGCTTTCTCCCCCGGCTAAGCCAGAAAGCAGCTGTCACTCTAAAATTCTTTGCCAAACAAAACGAAGAGGTTCTGAGCAAAGTGGTGTACAGAGGGCAGCTGGAGCAGCTCCCGAAATCACCAGCCCTTCCCTGCAAAGCTGTGCCCTCGCCCCCATCTCCATGGCCAGCAGGCCTGGCGTACTTACTGTGTATGGGGATGAGCCGTGGACGTGCTCCAGGGAGTACTGGCGACTGTATTTCGGCATGGAATGTGCTGAACTGCTGTCGTTCAACATCAGGGGACTGCAAAGAACCCAAACAGTTGGCAGTTACGGTGCTGCTGGCCCCAGCTCGCAGGCACCCCGCACCCGGAGCGGCTCCCCGCGCACACCTGGGGGGCCCAGGCCCCCCGGCCTCCGAGCCCGGAGCCCTGGAGGTGGTGGCTACGGCAGGCCCCGGGAAGGGCCCAGCCCCTTGGCTGTCCTTCATGAGCCCCTTGGGCAGAACCGTGAAACCTCCTGGCCCAGGAGCCCCACGTTTCCGCTCCCGCTCGCTCCCTTCCCATTTGTCAATGTTCAGCTTCCCCATGGCCAACTGCTCCAAAGATGGATGGCTCGTGGTCAGCTGCGACACTGTCGCTTCTGGGGCCCTTTTCATGGACTCCAACATGTGCAGAGACTCTGTGTCTTTAGGAAATGAATCATTTCAGCACGCCTTGAACACAGCACGCTACAGCCCGGGACCGTCATTAATAACAGCGAGGGCTGCTGCGGGGCTGCCTGCCATATGGCGCTCCGGGCACTGCTCCCATCCGAGGGGAGAGCCCTGCGAGCAGGCGGGCACCCCGGCACAGCCGTACAAGGGGAGCCAGCCCACTGGAGGAGGCTGCAGGAGCAGGCTCTGCCTCAGCCCGGTGCCCCGTCACGTCAGACAGGAGCAGAACCATCGACAAATGCTTAGGAGGGAAGAGAAATTGTGCTACAGCACAACCTGGGGACAAAACCGAGTATTAACTGGCCAAAAATTAAGCGGCTAAGAACACTTCCAGGTTAAGTGCTGACTTAAGAGCCTCACCCGGGAGAGCCAGCGCGGGGCAAGGAACCCTGCAGTGTTTGAGGACAGGCTTGATTAGATTATGAAGATGTCAAACAGCAGCCTGTGAGAGCAGACTAGTGTTGACGGTCCCGGGCTTCCTCTCCAGAACAATGGCAGGAATGTCCCGACAGTGCCAAGACACCATTTTGGCGGTGCCAGAGCGCGGGCGGCAGCCTCCCAGCTCGCAGGGCCTGCGCAGGAGGTGGCAGCGTGTGCGCCCGCCATCCCATCCCTGCCAGCTGCAAAGCAGCGGGAGCTGGCGCTGGGGCTGGGACGAACACGTGCTCCCAGTGAGCACTGTCCTACCCCACTGGCAAGGCTGCTACATCGGGGGGAGCCACTCTGCTGATCCGCTCTATTCCCTCAGACAGGGAATCTTTATCTGGATGCAGAAATGCAGACTTACATCTTCCTCTTCACCCCAAGAATACGGTTGGATTGCACCAAGGAGATCAAGAACTGGATAAGCTGTGAGGAGAAGGAGGAGACACCCGTTAGGACGCGCATGGTGCCTTGGATTAGCAAAGGGGCAATCGGCTCTGGACTGTTTGGCGCCTGCGCTCAGAGCGGGGCCAAGGAAGGGCACAGCGGAAGCAGGGCGGGCTGCTGCCCACAGCTCCGAGCACGAGGGGTAAAAACCCCTTTGTGCTGCACTGCTGATGGCTGGGGTTTATCCTCTGCCCAGCAGCTTCCCACAAAGGCAGGAAAGCAGGAGGGAATTGCCGGGATCAAGACTTTCCGAGGCGGAATGAACACCGTGCGCTGGCCCGCGGTGCGCGCGGCTGCACTCACCTTGTTGACCACCTTCTGCTGCTGCGCGTGCTTCTGCCGCAGGCTCGCCACCTCCCCCCCCACGGCCTCGT